TGACTAAGCAAAATTAAATTGCAATTTTTTTTTTTTGTTTTTAACATAATAATTATTTTAATTTAAGATCTGCCCGCTTTTGGGCAAAAATTAAATTAAATTAAATTATTCTGTGTACGTTGGCAGTTTATTATTTTGTATTATATTTGTGTATCCTTGTGTCTGTTTGGTGTAGGGGGAGCAGTGGAAGGTGTGGAGTTAGACATCTACTCTTTGGGGGAGGTCAAGAGGGTGTTTCCTTTTGAGCCGTCTCGCTGTTAAGCTGTTGTCCAAAAGGTTGATGGCAAGATTATTTGGGTGGTTGCCTAGTCTGGCGATGTAGCGATCACTCAACTTGGCAATTACCTCTTTAACCCAAGGAATATAAAGCTGGCTGTGAATTATGATATTTTCATGGTAGATATGCGCGTTAGATAAAATTCGCAGATCTTTATTTTGAAACCGCTGAATAATGCTCAGCTTGCTCCTGCTGGCGGTAACCCAAAGATGGATGCCGTGAGTTCATGTTGGCTTGATAATTGTTTTATAGAGTAACAGCTTTACGCGAAGTTTCAATTTGGAGTGCCTGGCGATCAACCAGTTATATTGCTTCAGCTTTTTTTCAGTCTGCTTTCTTTTGCGCACAATATGTTCACGCCGTGTCAGCCGTCTGTCGAATGTGATGCTTAGATAATTTGGCGTTGTGTTCACCGGAATCAGTAATCCATCTAGGAAAACTGGGGGCAGTTTCCTTTGCGCAGCGTGAAAGTGGTATGGGTCTATTTTTCCTGTTTGTCCGCGATGTTCCATCTTTTCAGCCAGCTGTCCAGGGAGTCCAATTGACGCTGGATAATGGTGGACGCATACTGCGGGGTGTTGGCCGTGGTAAGAAATGCAGTATCATCCGCGTACGTGGCGACCAACAGGCTCTGATCCGGGCTGAAAGGCATGCCGGCTGTGTACCCCGTGTATAGTAGTAGTCCCAGAACGCTGCCTTGCGGGACTTCGGCTCTGATGCTCCTAACAGACGAGGTAGCGTCTCCGCATTAGGTGTAAAATTATCTGCAGGAGATGTAGCATTTGAGAAATTTAAAGAAGGATGTTGGTAAGTTTGCCTTGAGCTTGTGCAGTAGGCCGGGGTGTCATACCCTATCAAAGACTTACTTCACATCAATTAGGACCGCACAGCAGTACTTCTTTTCTTCGAATGCCTGTAATATTCGCTCTTCTATCCTATGGCACTGCTCTGGTGTTCCGTGGAGGCGCCTAAAGCCGAACTGATGGTCTGGGATCAAACCAGCCTCGTTCAATACTAGCAGCACTCTACTTAAAAAAACTCTTTCGAGCATTTTAGAGAGAGTCGCTAGTAAACTTATGGGGCGATATGAGGAGAGATCGGCCTCAGCTATACCAGGCTTTGGTATTAAGATTACCTCAGCTCGTTTCCACTGGGAAGGGAAATGTCTAATCGCAAAGCATCGGTTAATAACGTTGGTCAGCAACTGGATAAAATTTTTAGGAAGCATTTTTATCGCCCTTGCGTCAATGCCCAGGCGCCGTGTCCAGGCGCCTGAGGCGTTCTCAATCTCATCCAGGAATGCTGAAGCGATCTGTGTGTCACTCACACTTAGCAGCTCCACGAAACGGATAGTGCCCGCTATCTCCGTAAATGAGCAGCAATTAAACGGCGTGAATGAGTCATGAAGGTGCTCTGCATAGGCATCTGCTCTTTTATGACAATTAATTTTTGACACCTGATTAAACATTCGTTCAGAAGCACTAAAGATGGCACAAATTATATATCTCTGCATATAAAACTGTTTGTCCAGACTGATTGGCTGAATGACTGACTGACTGACTGGTGGTCAACGCACTGCCCAAACCGTAAGAGATAGGAAACCGAAATGTTCACTGAATTTACCTTATGTGACGAAGGCGCACGATAAGAAGGGGTTTCGATAAATTCCATCCGCAAGTTTGGAAAAACGTTTGTATGAAACTTTTTCGTTTATCATCCGATCGGTATCAAACTCATTTTCAAAGATCTTTGTTCAAATTCATTTGAGGGGTGTTTCACACTTTTCCTCCTTGGTGGAAATGGGTGTCAAAGATTTGGTTCGTGAAATTTCGTTCTCAAAGTCATTTTGAAAAATCTATAGCCTAAATTAAGCTACACCGGCGAAGCAAGGCGAATTCGCTGGGTGTAAATTTGATATATCTGAAGTCCAACCTTTTATTTACGAAAGATTTTTAAAATAGAAAACATATTCACTCTGGATATAACCTCACGAATATTATGCATCTAAATTTAACCCCATTTGTTGACAAAATCTTTTTCTTGCACCTATAAGCTGTTACGGAACTGCTTGTTTCTCTTTGGGCCGCGCCGGCTGGCTCATCGGTTCTCTGGGTGTAGTTCCATCCCTAGCCCCTAGTCCGCACAATCGATATCAACAAGCTACAACATCTGCAGCAAAATAGACCCACACAGCACTATCCAAATTAACCACAAAATCGATAAACATCAAACAGCCGGAGCTTCTAACAAATGATCAACATAAGCAGCTGTGAGAACAACAAATGCAAACAACAAAGGTGAGACGCTGAAATAAATTAACAAAAAAAAACTCTACTGATCCAATTACTTTTACAGATCGGCTCCCGGTTCCGGACCCAGCGTACCCGCCCTACCTGAGACGATCACCTACACTCGTCTCCCTCATTTTGGCCACTAGATGACCTTCATCCACCCGTGTCGGCAGTCATGCCCCTCCCCATCAATAGATATTTAGCCGGAAATTGCTTTCCGTCAGTATGTGCGTATAATTGGTTGCATTTCTTATAGTTATTAACAATCAATATCTCTTATTTTATTTATCTTCACAGGATATCTCCAAACTTATATTTATGGGTTCATGCAAGTGGACACTTCTTTTCAACTTCAACAGGTGCGTATAATTATTTGCATCATCTTATTATTATTGGCAATTGATCTTATAGCTTATTTTATTATCTTTTACAGAACATCTTAAACCTTCTTTATATAATGTTATACTAATGGACATCTCTCTCACTTCAACAGGTACGTATAATAATTTGCATTATCTTATGGTTATTGACAATTAATATGATTTTCTAAAATTGTATTTATAGCCGAACAACACAAATAACAGACGTTTCCGAAAGCTAATTCCAACCGCCGTTGGGAACTACGTGGGAGAACAAATATTATAAATATTAAATTGAGCGATTGGCTCCCCACACGTTCGCGCACGTATATATACGTGTTACCACGCTGGGAAAAAATGGTATGTTGGAAAGATGCTTATATAAAAAAATAAATAAGTAGAAATTAAATGGCTTCAATACACTTAGCCTTCCTAAAGAGCTCGCTGGGGCGCTAAAGGCGTTGGAAATAAATGATTTTTTGTGTATATATATACATGTATGGATCGTGTGAAAACGAAATCACTTCGTTTCTTTCTTTCCTTAGATGGCAGACGCAATAGCTTTTGGGGCCTTTTCTTTACTGTCGGAGATCAATGAAGTTTTACTTAAAAGGGCCAACAAGCAAAATTAAATTTAATGATTTAAAAATGTTTACTCATGGAGGGGTCTCAAATATGAGTCTGATTCTGCCTCTGCCTGTTTCTCGGGGTGAGGCTGGGTGTTATAGAACGGACGCACTTGGATGATGTGGGCGTGGTCTCGCCTGTGGCCACTTCGTCTCCTGGTCGACTCGTTGTGTCCGCGACGGGGCGAAAATACGCAGGTAGTCGTCGACGTGCACTCTGGCTCGGATCCCTCTCTCGTCGATTAGATTGGCCGGACCACAGATGACGGGCTTGTGAGGCGGGAGAAACAGCATGTCGTCCTCTGCGTGGCTCCTTCGCTAGCACTTTTATGGTTATTATTTTATTTCCTTTTTCTTCTTTGGCAGATCAGGGTCTATTGTGCGCTTATGGCCTTGTTCAGGTTTGCATGGTAATATCACTGTCTTTTGTATGCGGCCTTATATGTATATTTTTGTTTCCTACAATTTTTTGTCGGCTCAATGTTTTAATTATAGTTAAATTATAAAAAAAAAAAATTCATCTATTTTGTTAATATGTGCCGTCGGTCTATTTGGCCAGGGAAAAACTTTTGCTCGAAATATTTTTGCACTGAGGATGCTTTCGAGCGCGGCGCGCCCGCCGAAGACTGCTGACAAAATCGAACTCCTCGGCTGTACATTTGAGCAGCAACATTCGGCATCCGGAATTTTGGCACACGCATACTTAGAAAGGTGGTCACCGTTGCTGCCCATATGCATAGCTGCCTTTTTGGATCAACGGCCCAGATGAAGACCAAGGGCATTTCCAAGAGCATGCAATCCGCTCTCCTTCTAATCTCTTTAGGAGCGAATCGGGTGGCCAACAGCAATCGCCCCTTGTCGTTCCCCTTTCGGCACCGTGGATCGCAAGTCCGGCTTTACCACTCTTCAATTAATTGGAGACTGCTGTGTCCCCGGCTTCACCCCCGATACTCTGCCCATATGACAAAAAGATATCTGCGTGGCCGATAATAAAGAACGCAAGCAAAACAGAATGGAATATCGACGCTTTCGATAGTGTCAAATGTAACAAGAATAACACATAAGGCATACAATTTACGTTCGGAGAAGAAACACTAAATTAAAAAGATTTTTTAGCCAGATTTCTTTTCACATATTTAAAATTGAAATTCAGTCAGCTGTTCCTTAATGCAAACAGGAGATTTGTTGAGCGAGTCAACGACAATAAGGTGCAGTTAAGAATTCTACAACGGCTCGCATCAATATTATTTTTTTGCGAATGTGCTCAAATTTAATTTTAAATATTGCGCATAAAAAAATATATATAGATATATAAGTAGCTATCTGGCTTTAGGGAATGTAGTGTAAGAGTTTCGTTCCATAGTTTCAAAAAACCGATATTTAATGCACATATTAATGTATCTAAGTGTTGTAATTTAAATATCGATATGGATATCGGCGTTATTATTCATAGATTTTAGCGCTTAAATTTGCTTGCTGTGCATATTATATTTTCACAATATTAAAAATGGATATCGAATTGCCTTATGTGGCAGAGTATGCAAAATCGGGCCGAGCTTCTTGTAAAGGATGTAAAACAGCAATTTTAAAGGATTCTCTGCGGCTTGCAGTAATGGTTCAAGTAGGTTTATACATATATGTATGCATATGTAGATGTTAAGACATTGTAGGCTAATACAATTAAAAACCATGAATATCCACGACACATTGTCCCTTCCGTATCCATTAGAGATTTGTGAAACTTAATGAATATTTTATCATATACATAGGTAACATATTAATTAATACATATGTATATATATTCATAAACATTGGCAGATATTTATGTATATTTACAATACCGAGGGGGACTGCAATACGTGCTTGCCGTACGTATTTAAATACAGTAGTCTACACCGTAGGGTCATTTAGGAGTAATTAACATTTGTTTACTTGTTTAAACCATTTTTAAACCCTGAACCCATTGTAAATGGGTAAAAAGGTATTTGTGTAAATGTATGTAACATGCAAAAGGAAACATCTCTCACCCCATAAAGTATATTTATTACTGATCAGCATCACAAGCCGAGTCGATCTAGCTATGTCCGAATGTCTGTCCGTCCGTCTGTATGTATGAACGCAAGAATCTCAAAACCTATAGGAGCTAGAGACTTTAGAGACCTTGCCCCGCAAGCTATCGTTGAAATTTGATATCGAAATCCTATTATTTGAGTAAGTCTTTTAGGTTTTAAGAGTTAGAAACACTAAACTTGACATGTATCTTCGACAATAGTATATAAAGGTTAAGTATCTTTTATTTTATAGCTACCTCCACCCTCCTGACTACACCCCATAGCTATAAATCAAATAAATAAACCAATCGGAACCACTCAACAATTCAATCCACAATTTGAATGCATTTGACCTTTTGAGAATAAACGAATATTCTATAGAACAATAGGATCTACTGTTGAAAATTTCATCAAGTTCAATTAAGAAACACAGAAGTTGTTAAAGAAAACGTGTGCTTAACGAGCATTGCAATTGCGATTGTATTGTATTTTGTGCTGTGTATGAATTAATAAATTGTAAATTGTTTTGTATAAGAAAACAACAATTGTGAGAGAAGAACTAATTTGAAAATTATTTGATTTAAAAATAATTAGCCTCGCACTGCTGCTGCCGCTGGCGTCCCCTTGTTGCTCTTTGGAATGCGAAGCCTTGTCGCACGTGTCGATTATTGGTCATGCACCTTGGCCGTGATCGTTGGGCTGGGTGCATGAGTACTTTCTACTGATATATTTTTATACCCTGAACCCATTAAAAATGGGTAAGAAGGGTATTATGTATTTGTGCAAATCTATGTAACAGGCAGAAAAAAGCATCTCCGATCGGGAAGCATCTAGTCGAGAGCTCCCGACTAGAACCCTCTTACTTGTTTTTATAAATGTTAATTGTAATGGATTAAAATAGAACACATTTTTATTACAACACAGTTGGCTTAGGTGCTGTTTCTGCAAGCCTGGTTGGGTCCTCAGGCTTTATCGTGGCCAACAGGGTCAAAAGCGGCTTTTTGAATAAGGTTCTTCTCTCGTGGGTGGAGTAGGTCCTCCAACGATCTTCTCTTGAGCCGCCTGACTACACACTTCCCAACGAGGTCTCTTGCTATTGATGTGTGTAACAGATGTTCTTAACTTATGTGCTGCTATTTGAATTAGTTTTTTATCATTAAAAGAGAATTGTTGGTATGGCTGTTAAAAAGAGGCGGTGGCAGGTTGTGTGGTTTATTACGAGTTCGAGTCCTATCTAGGAAGCCATTTTTATACCCATTTTTAATCGGTAAAAAGGGTAAAATGTATTTGTGCAAATGTATGTAACAGGCAGAAGGAAGCATCTCCGACCCCATAAATTATACATATTCTGGATCAGCATCAATAGCCGAGTCGATCTAGCCATGTCCGTCTGTCTGTCCGTCCGTCCGTCCGTCCGTATATATGAACTCAAGGATCTCAGAACCTATAAGAGCTAGTGACTTGAAATTTTTTTAACTGTGGGTCCTCCTAGTACCCGCGCAGATCGAGTTTGTTTTCGATATTCGATAACTTGCCCCGTTTCCAAGTAATCGATAAAAATCGATATCGAAATCCTTTTTTTTGAGCAATTTTGGTAAATAATATGAGCGAGAGTCATCAAACTTGACTGTTTGAGAATACACAAATGTTCTATAGCACAATATGATGGAGATACTGTTGAAAATTTGATCAAGGTCGCATTTAGTGTTGAAATAAGAGGGTTCAGGGTATCCCCTAGTCGGGAGCTCCCAACTAGAAACACAGAAGTTATTTAAGAATCCGTGTTATGGCTTTCCTCGTATCAGCGGCAGCAAGCGCATATTCTAGGAATTTCTGTATACATTTACACACACATTCATGCGCGTCTGCTTTGAATTCTATCAACAGCATTGCAATGTCGATTGTATTGTTTTGTGTGCTGCTATTTTAATTCGTTTTTTCTTATTAAGTGTGGATGTTGACAAGAGGCGGCGGCAAGTAGTGCGGTCTGTTGCGAGTTCGAACCCTACCGAGGATACTATTTTTTTTGGCTGGTGTGGCTATTGAGTAGAGGTGCAGCAATTAATGCGGTCTGTTGCGAGTTCGAGCCCTACCGAGGAAATATTTTTTTTAAATTTATTTTTATTACTACTAAAGCAAACGAGCGCGTAGCGCGAGTTGCATTTAGTGTTGAAATAAGAGGGTTCAGGGTATCCCCTAGTCGGGAGCTCCCAACTAGAACCTCTTAATTTTTTTTTATCTTGAGGAAGTAATATTTCTATGAAATATGTATCTTATTCTCCTGGACATTACTCTTTTTTACGAGGACTTTAACTGGTAACGATGTAGTTTTAATGTTTCTGAAATCATAGGAATATAAGTATTCGGCTTGCACCATTGTTTCTTCTGTGATGTACATTCAAATAATCTGTACATCTGTTTAAATGCTCAATTTTTTCAATTAATAATTAAGAAAATAATTTTTTGTGCGGTAAATTTTCGAATTTTTTTTATTTAAAATTTGAAAATTTCGAAAGAAAACTGCAATAGAAACAAGAGGTTATAGTTGGGAGCTCCCGACTAGAGGATACCCTGCACCCTCTTCTTTCATAACCAAATGCAGGTCGAGCTACGCGCTCGTTTGCTTTAGTAGTAATAAAGATAAATTAAAAACAAGTAAGAGGTTCTAGTCGGGAGCTCCCGATTAGAGGATACCCCGATCCCTCTTTTTTCATCACCAAATGCAGCTCGCGCTACGCGCTCATTTGCTTTTGAAGTAATAAAGATAAATTTAAAAAAAAAACCTTTCCTTGGCTGGGTTCAAACTCGCACTAGCCGCACTATTTGCCGCCGCCTCTACTCAACAGCCGCACCAGCCAAAAAAATAAAATAAAAATACTTTCCTCGATAGGTCTCGAACTCGCAGCGGACCGCACTACCTGCCGCCGCCTTTACCCAACAACCCCACCAATTATTGAGTATTAATGAGAAAAAAACAAATTAATATAGCAGCGCAGAAAACAATACAATCGCTATTGCAATGCTGTTGATAGAATTCAAAGAAGACGCTCGAGAATGTGTGTGTGTGTGTGTACATGAATACAGAAATTCTTGCAATTTGTGCTAGCTGCCGCAATCACGTGGGCAGCCGAAACACATTTTCTTTTTTGTTTCTTACCCGATCGTGATGTAATTTTCATCAGTAGATCTTATTGTACTTTGGAATATTCGTGTATTCTCAAAATGACAATTGCATTTAAATTGTGGCTTATATTGGTAGGCAGCATATGTAAATTGATTTATTTACTTGGTAGGGGGAGGTGGCGATAGCTATAAAATGAAAGTTACTTGATATCTATATACTATTATAGAAGCAACATATTAAGTTTGGGAACTCTAGCTCTTATTATTTACCTAATTTGCTCAAAAAACACGACTTCGATATCGATTTTTATCGATTACGTGGAAACGGAGTAAGCTATCGATTATCGGAAACAAACACGTACTGCGCATGGACTAGGAGGACCTACAGCTACAATTTCAAACTTTTTTTCTAGTTCTTATATGTTCTGAGATCCTTGCGTTCATACATACGGACGGAAGGACGGACAGACAGACATATCTAGATCGATTCGGCTCGGCTCCTTCTGCCTGTTACATACATTTGCACAAATACATTATACCCTTTTTACCCATTTTCAATGGATTCAGGGTATAAAACTTGTATATTTTGCCTCACCTCTATATTGATCATTAAAATCGATGGAGAGACGTTTTAATTATAACCATTCCAGCAAACGTGTCCGACGTCGCATTTTCAAATTCACGCATAAAATTTAGCCATTGGTTGAGGTTGTGGAACTTTCGAGGTTAGTGGAACGTTGGACGTTATCGTAACGTTTGACGTAAGTGGAACGTTCGACGTTAGAGGAACGTTCACGTTAATGAAACATTAGACGTTGGTGGAACGTTCGACATTAATGAAACATCTTTGTTTTTTTTTTGCGACGAGCATGTTAGCGATAACGATGACCTGCTTTGCTCAAAAAAGGAAACGCTTAAAAGTTTTAGGGGTAGATTGGCGAACAATCGCTTCGCAACTACTAGTAGCAACTCGGTCAGAGAATAATTTCTTATGAAATGAATGAACTTTGAAATTGAACCGAAAAGTTGAAAAGTAGATTGAGCGCCAACATTTTTTTTGCCAAGCATATTTGTCAACAAAATTAAAATATAGTGTATTTATCAAATCAATCATGTTAACAAAATAAACACCTCTATTTTTAATTTTAAGACCTTATATACGGAAATGAATGTACTGGTTTCAGGTTTTGAAATGAAGTTAATAGAGCCAAGAATTAATTGGTTTCGCAAGGGACCTGAACCTAACAATGTTAAATGCTGAGATGGAAAACATATGGAGCGATATTATCAGTAAAAAGACACGATACTTGAACCAATTTTATAACCCCGACTATAGGAACATTTTTAAGGTGTTTTTGTTTATGTGTATCATTGTGCATAAAAAGAAGGTTAAAAAAATATAGCCATATACAATTAATTTATTTTAAGACTACTATATCCTGACTCGATTTTTTTTCTTGACTTCCAATTTATAGCACGCATCTGTGCAGTCTACTAGAGCGATTTATTTATATTAATTATTATTTTTAGTCACCCTTTCATGATGGAAAAATGCCAAATTGGTTTCACAAGGACTGTTTTTTTAAGAAACAAAAACCAGCCTCCGTAGGGGACATTAAGAACTTCGAAAATTTGAGATTTGCAGACCAAACTGAGCTCTCAAAACTGATTGGTATGTATATTTAACTATCTCAAAATAAAATAGTCTAACTTTTGTTATTAGATACTATATCGGTAACTGTTGCTGGCAAAACAGGCAAACGTTCAAAGTCCGAACAGGAAGCTCTTAAAGATTTTGGGATTGAATACTCTAAATCAGGTCGAGCCACATGTCGCGGCTGCGAACTAAAAATAAGCAAGGATGAAGTTCGAGTCTTTAAAACAGTTTACGATACTGAAATTGGCATGAAATACGGCGGCCAAAAAGTATGGCATCATTTGGAGTGCTTTGCAAAAATGCGATCGGACGTTGATTGGTTTGACACTGGCGAAAACCTGCCTGGATATAAGCTCCTTAAAGACGAGGACAAGGAGGAAGTTTTAAAAGTTCTACCGTGAGTAAAAATGCATTTTGTTTGACATTTATATTCGCAAAGTGAAAAAGAGCTGGAGGCTTGTATACTCTTTTTATATTCACGCTGCAGCAAAGAGAAAAATTTCTTTATCACGTTCATAAAGTGGGTGGGTGACCATCAAGTTTAAAACTAGCGATCACATTAAGTTAGTATATTACTGATAAATGCATAAAAATCATTGCCACGAGGATATTTAACGTCCAGAGTCTTATAATTACAAGTATCTTCTGAAAATGTCGCGTTACTGAGCCTATATATATTTTATTATATTATGCTCACCCCAACCCTCTGCTAGGCGCAGTGGTTAAAGCTTCGCTCACTAAACACTTCACCAACGCACTCTAAGAGCGAAAAGGGAGAGGCAATTGAGCAAGCGGAGAAGCTGCATGAGCTGGCGGGCTTAATAAATAATCATGATTCTTACGACTACTTTTAATACTTTTTAAATTTTCTTATATCTATTTCTACACCTTTTATAATGTGCGGCCGTGCAATTCTTGTGACATTGGCGATGACCATTGCAGGCCTGACCAGCGTGTGGACATGCCATGTCGTTGGGACCTCCATTCAAAGCTCGACTATTTTGGGATCCTCGGCCACATTATTCCTTTCTAGGCGAATCACGGACCGTAATGGTAGAAAAGAAATTGTGTCTCCACGTCCCCCTGTGAGGTCAACCCCATAGCGGAAGTAGGAGCACTCCCGTTTGTAGTCGTCATGGTTGTCTGTGTCCATTTTGCAAGCGTCGGCGCGGTCGGGGGCGCCTTTACTGGCTGGGGCCTTAACCTTGGCAAAGTCTTAAGCGAAATATAATAATTAATATAAGCGGCCCTCGTTGCTGTCACTTCCGGTCAACTCTATCTCAGCATTCAGCCAGGCGTGCACGTTGACGAAGGTCTCCAAATCGCTGCTATTGTCTTACAGGCTTAGAAAGGAATTATATCCCTGAGTCTATAAAATTTAAAGGCCCTATCTGATACAATGTTGTTTAATTGCTAACTATACTAACACTAGTGGACGTTGCTCTGATCCGGTATTGTCATTGTCCTTGATTGTGCTTCGCTGGATGCGTATGCATGGAGGTGTGTGTGTCGGTATTCATGGACATGCACGTATGATTCGTGTGCGCTATCCGACGGCTCATAGTGCTTTGCTGGACGCGTTGGAGATACGCACTCTGACTGCGCTGCGGAGGCAATCGACCTGACGGACGTGTCAGGCGTGTAAGCGAGAAACTGACCATGACTCCGATAGTGAGGCGGTCGCGGCTGCTGTCTATTAGGCGTGTAATGCATAAGCTAGTGAAATACCCTGCCGATTGCACTTCGCCACCGATTGCACTAAATTGCAAAACACGTCCGTGCACAACCTTAGCCATTTAGCGCCATGTATTGCCATATGCACTCGCACACACACTCACACTGTTGGCAACTTAGCAGAAGGTTGAGTTTAAGATCGAAAGGATGTTCTCTAACTCCTGATGATTTTTTTTAAAATATCTGCCCTATATGGGATACTAAAGATTCTATCGGTGAGTATGTTTGTTTCAACTGAATTTTATGAAGGTTTTCCAAACTTACGTTATTCAGTATGATCGTACTCTTCATTTCTAGTTCTGTGATAAACTTACATAGATTAAAATCGTTATGTTAATGAGAATTGCGCAGATTTTCGAGTAGTTCGTTTACAGGCTGTTATGGTTAAATATTGAAATGTAAACTCGTCGAAGGTCCGATTTGAGATGGGGACCACCCAACACAAATACAAAATAATTTTTTTCAGATACAAATAAAAAAAAAATACGAAGGCAATGCCCAGCCCACCCCAACACAGTAGAGAAATATTTTTTGCACGGACCCGCATTAAACAATTACAAAATAGAGTTTTACAGCTACCCCGGAGCGAAAAACTCGATCAATGCTAAGGTGTGTGCACCATTTAGTGCGGGCTTTCTCTATTGAGATTGAGCTAGACCCTACCAAAATCATTTGATGGTCGGTCCCATAATGTATTTGTTTTTAAGTAGCTTCCTAACTCAAAACCTGAAGAACTTAAAGCGGTCGACACCGAATATGCTATATCTCATGGATTCTGGCGCTCAATTTGCTGAATTGCTTCAATAATAATAAAGTCTTTATAGGGGATACAACTACCAGTTGTATGTGGTTTTAGTTATCCATTGTAAAAAATTACAACTGAAGACAGCCCTATAGGGATCGGGGCTGAATAAACTGATTCGCCAAGATTCGGTCACTCGATTCGTCTTGTTGCTTCCAGGTATTTGTAGGATTTTCAACCAGCAGCTGGATTGGTTTTTATACCCTCTACCCATTAAAAATGGGTAAACAGGGTATATTGTATTTGTGCAAATGTATGTAACACGCAGAAGAAAGCATCTCCGACCCCATAAAGTATATATATTCTTGATCAGCATCAATAGGCGAGTCGATCTAGCCATGTCCATCTGTCCGTCTGTCCGTATGTATGAACTCAAGGATACCAGAACCTATAAGAGCTAGAGACTTGAAATTTCAGGTGTTGGTCCTCCTAATGCCCGCGCAGATCGAGTTTGTTTCCGATATTCGATACCTTGCCCCGTTTCCAAGTAATCGAAAGAAATCAATACCGAAATCCTGTTTTTTGAGCAATTTCGGCAAATAATATGAGCTAGAGTCACCAAACTTGACATGTAGCTTCTAGAATAGTATATATATATATCAAGTATCTTTCATTTTACACCTATCGCCCCCTCCACGCTACTACCGCAAAGCTATAAATCAAGTTAACTATCCAACTTTTATTGCCTATCAATTTAAGCCACAATTTGTATGCAATTGCATTTTTGAGAATACACAAATATTCTATATTCTATTCTACAATAAGATGTCCTGTCGAAAATTTCATTAAGTTCGGTTAAGAAACACAAAAGTTATGTGCGCACGTGTTAGCAGCATAGCTGCTGCGCAAATTCCAAGAATTTATACATATACACACACACATTCATGCGCGTCTGCTTTGAATTCTATCAACAGCATTGCAATTGCGATTGTATTGTTTTCTGTGCTGCTATTTTAATTGTTTTTTTTTTTCTCATTAAAGCTCAATTATTGGGGTGGCCCTTGAGTAGAGGCAGCGGCAAGTGGTGCCAAGGGAACAATTTTTATTTTTTTTTTATTTTCATTTTTCTTTATTACTTCTTAATCAAACGAGCGCGTAGCGCGAGCTGCATTTGGTGTTGACGAAAAAAGAGGCCTCAGGGTATACCATAGTCGGGAGCTCCCGACTAGAACTTCTTTCTTGTTATATTTTCTTTTTCGTTAGGAATATTATATTCCCTCTCCAGCTGCACCAATGAAATAATCTATTAAATATTTATATCTTTATTTGGCCCCTTGTATTCGTACTTTGACTTATTCGTTGCTTGTCCGCAGATAAAAAGATAAAACAAGTAAGAGACCTCTTCTAATAATACCAAAGGCAGCTCGCGCTACGAGCTTGTTTGTTTTAGCAGTAATAACAAGAGTGATCTACCCAGGAGTGCCCCACTAGGGCATAACAAAAAAATTAGAATATAAACTATAAATATTTCATTTGGGTCATTTAAGTATTTTATTAAATAAAAATATATCAGATTCTTCTCATTATGCCTGACTGAACCAAGAAATACATGATAGAGCATTTGAATGTGTGTGACTTTTGCTACCAGTCTGGTTATCGCTACTTATTATATTATAAATATGGGTAAAGTTTACAAATATTTGCTAAACTGTAACAATTTTGATATGAAAAATCAATGTTGGTATATGGTCTGTCTGCAACAACGAGACGGACAAAATTAATTAAGATATTCTCGACAAGCATAAAAATGTTTAAATGTTAATTATATTACAAATATATTTAAGTATGCATGCAACATATGTATGTTATTTGGTGTTTTCTCAGGTCCGGGAGTCCTGAGAGATAGCCTTATCAGAAAATACATACTGATTTCAACAACGCAATGGTTATATTTATGTTATATCTACAAACGAAGTTGATGAGTTATTATTAGTTTTGGATTTTAAAGAAAAGAAGGAACGGCTTAAAGAATTGTGGCTCACGGTTTTGCAGATATGTGAAAAAAATAGCAAGATCCATTTCGAGTATTGTTTGTTTGGCGAAACTTATTGAGAAAATATGTCTATAATCTGTCTTTCGTTAAAAACTTACTGAAACTTACAAATGGATATGTGAACTGGGTTTAATTTTACAGTCTCGCAGTTGCAATGCCTCAATTTGGACCGTTTGGTACATTTTCTTCAACAAATATTTCAGAAATGTTCAGTTCGATTTCAAGATCCATATGCTCAAAACCATATGCTCCCGATACGCGCTCGCTTGCTCAAGCTTTACACATTTATACCTATTTAATATGTAAAGAGATATCTAGAATTCATATAAAGATATTTAAAAACAATATTTGTTTAGCTGGATTGAGGTCCGGAGTTTTGTTAAAAAACAAATGAAACAATTATGTTTAAATTTGCATTTCGGATCAATTTCGGCAGCGCAACGGTAACCGTCTTAAGGGCACTTACCCCAAGACACAAAAAAACAATTAACATTAAAATAAATTAAATTAAACATTTAACATACAATATTTGAGTCGTTTTTTGTTTGATGTGCTTATTATGTGTAGCATTTCCAGTATATGTCGTTTGCTGTAGTGCTGTTCTTGCTGTAGCATTGTTATTGCATCAAAGTTTATTGTGTGGTTGCTTTTCATACAGTGGGTCATTAGTGCTTTTATATGGTATTTTGTAAATGACATAACTTTTGTCCATCATTGAACTCGTTGAAAATGAGTAAAGTGGATATAATGTATTTTTGCAAATGTATGTAACAGGCAGAAGGAAGCGTCTCCGACCCTATTAAGTATATATGTATATTCTTGATAAGGATCAATAGCCGACTCGATCTAGCCGTGCTCGTCTGTCTGTCCGTCCGTCCGTATGAACGCAAGAATCTCATAACCTGTTAGAGCAGTACAAGATTCCGATAATCCATAACTTTCCCCGTTTCGATATCGAAAACCTGTTTTTATACCCATTAAAAATGAGTAAAAAGGGTATATTGTATTTGTGCAAAAATATGTAACAGACAGAAGGAAGCATCTCCGACCCCATAAAGTATATACATATAGCATCAACAGCATCAACGAGTCGATCTAGCCAAGTCCGTCTGTCTGTCCGCATGTATGAACGCAAGGATCTCAGAACTTATAAGAGCCTCCTAGTGCCCGCGCAGATCGAGTTTGTTTCCGATATTCGATAACTTGCCCGTTTCCAAGTAATCGATAGAAATCGATACCGAAATCCAGTTTTTTGAACAATTTTGGTTAATAATAAGAGCTAGACTCACCGAACTAGACATGTAGCTTCTAGAATAGTACATATGTATATATCAAGTAACTTTAATTTTATAGTTATCGCCACCTCTCGCTGCCACCACAAAGTAAGTAAATAAACCGATATAAGCCACAATTTAAATGCAATAGACTTTTTGAGAAATCACAAATATTCTTTGGGAAAATAAGATGTACTCTCGAAAATTTCATTAAGATCGGTTAAGAAACACAAAAGTTATATGTTTTGGTTGCGCACGTGTTTCTAGCAGCAGCTAGCGCAAGTTCCAAGAATTTCCGTCTACATGTACACACACACATTCATGCGCGTCTGCTTTGAATTCTATTAACAGCATGGCAATTGCGATTGTATTGTTTTCTGTGCTCCTATTTAGATTGCTTAATTGGCTATTGAGTAGAGGTGGCGGAAAGTAACTCGGTCAGTTACGAGTTCGAACCATGCGTAGGAAAGTGTTTTTTTAATTTATCATTATTACTACCAAAGCAAACGAGCGCGTAGCTCGAGCTCCATTAGATGTTGGAATAAGAGGATTGAGGGTATCCCCTAGTCGGAAGCTCCCGACAAGAACCTTTTACTTGTTTGAGCTAGGTTTTAAGAGCTAGAGTCACCAAATGTAGCTTCTTGACTATATACAGATCAAGTAGCTTTCATTTTATAGCTATTAATATAGAGCCTCGTACTTGTTGCCTTTGTATTGTTGAGAACATGTAAAGTATTCGTTGGTTTGTGTGCTACTTTTATTTCTCGTTCGTTTTAGCAGTGTAAGTTCGTGAGGCGTTCTGGTAATCGTGGTACATATTTTAAAAACTTGTATATTTTCGTAGTTTCTGTAGATTTTTTTGTTGTATTTTTTAATCATGTGTATATTACATTGTTGAGTGGGAAGTCATTTTTGGTAAAGAGTTTTTATATTTCATGTCCACTTTCTTTGTAGAATTTTGTGTCCGATACGTTAATCATCCTTCTTGGGTGATTTGAGTTAAAGTTAAGTATTCGTCCAGACGCTATGGGTTTCTTATACAACTTAATTTTGAGTGCATGGCAATTTCTGGTATATTGCTAGAACAGTAGTAAATTTAAATTTAAAGAAGTAGTTCAATTTTTCCGAAGGTTATGTTCTCCTGTCTTGTCCGTTACGGCATAAAGGTGATCTACATAATTCGTCAAAAGTCTTGGTTTTATTGTCAATTTATCAGTTATATTGGCATTCCTTTTAATTATATATATTATTTGTCTTCGTATTTAATGTACCGGTTTTCTTGAGTGCAAAATCTTAACAACATTTACTACATTTACTTTAAGTATAATATAAATAAGTAACTAGGGGATACCTTGAAACAAATCCGGTTGATGGCCCTCTGCGTCGTTTCGTTTTCGAAGTACAATGAGCGAAAAAGATTTATACTTCTGAGTGACGCATTGTACTTTTGCTTTATCCTTGATATGCATGCTTTATATGAATGACTAGCGGGTAATCCCCGACCTTGCCTCTGGAACGTTTTGTGATAAAAATTTTAGATATTACCTTTCCACTAAGTACACGCCCGTGGAAAATTAAAATTTACCCCTACCATCTTGATCTCCACTTCTATTTAAAAATATTTTTAAAGTGCATCGAATAACGAACCAAATGTTAAATTCAGCCCAAATGTTAATGAGGCCGATCCGATGGTAAATAAACAACGTGCACCTTCATCCCATACATCACATAAGCCACACTGAAAATTTCAGCTTCCTAGCTCTTACGGTATGGGCTGTGCGTTGATCACCAATAAGTCAGTCAGTCAGGACAAACAGTTTTATATATAGAGATTTCAAGTCTATTGTTAAACAAACAACAAACGAGTGTCGAACTTTTAACCACTTTCAACCTAGCGAACTAATTATATTTTGGATGAGCAAACAGATAAACTAATTTAATTTAAACTGACTTTTGCCAGACAATTTCTTCATTATTAATGCTCTATAATTCACGGACTTTTTTTGACGTTTCGGTAAAAATCGATGTAAAACTTACTGTTATATGATATAATAGCCTGAATGCCGATTGGTGCGCGACTAGTTTCCATAAAAACAGACATGACTCGGCTGTTGGTGCTGGTCAAGAGAAAAAGAAGCATAATAAAATACTTATTTATTTTCTTATTAATTTTCAGTGTGGTTAAATCTGAAGATACCCCAGACGCCAAGAAGCCGAAGCTAGAGCCCAATTTTGAAATCGAAGAAAAAATTAAGATAAAAAAGTTAAAAAATCAGAATGATATTTTGTTTAATTATCGTGATAATTTAAAAAAAGAAATGAAAAAATCAGATATCGAGAAGCTGTTAAAATATAATGCACAGGAGCCTTTGACTGGGGATTCTGAAAAGCTTTTAGATCAAGCAGCGGATCTATTGGCATTTGGTGCAATTAAGTCTTGTCCAGAGTGCAAGAGTACGCAGTTCATCTTCACCAAGTCAGGTTACCTTTGTAACGGAAACATATCAGAATGGACCAAATGCACACAGTTATTAACTGAGCCTCAGCGGACTTCATGCAAAATTCCAAATGAACTTAAATCTGAATATATTTTTTTGAGCGCTTTCAAAAAAAAGCCCGAATCGCGACTTATTCAGTATATACCTCCAAGTGCATCAACTATTGCTAAGGACATTGCAATAAAGAAAAATCCAGAAGAACTAAATGGGTTAGTAACCAAACAATTTTTTTAAATAACAATTTAGTCAAAAGTTCATTAGATAAATACAACGCTTTAACTATAAACCTTATTGATGCCTTAAATCAACTTTAATGCTTTTGTTATGTTCCTAAATTTGAAAACCTTATAAGGATGAACACAACTAGTTGTCTTATTCTACCTTTTGCTTGTTCTGTGTTTTCTTTGCGTTTTATCTTTTAGATTGAGTAAAATTATGAAAATATTTTTTATGCTTTCATTTTAGCCCAAAAATAAAACGAGAACGACCACCATTATACAACCTTAAATTCTCTCTAATCGGCTTAAAAGATAATGAAGCGGAAATAAAAAAGCGAATCGGAAAGTTAGGAGGTAAATTTGATACCAAAATAACTAATGACACTATTGCCATAATATCAACCGGAAAAGAAGTTGAAAAATTCAGTTCTCGTATGAAAAAAGCAAAAGAGCTTGGAATACATATTGTTCCTATGAAGTATCTCGATTCAGTGGAATCTGATAGCTCTGTCGCCATTAATTTTATATGTAGTATGACTCTTTGCGACTGGGGAACCGATCCATCAGCCCACATTCCTCAAGAAGAGACAAGAAGCTCAAAATCTAAAAGTATCTATACAAAATCTGTACCAAAATCGGTAACTCTTAAAGTGAAAAATGGATTTGCTGTTGATCCTGATAGTGGACTGGACGATATCGCGCACGTATATATACAAGGCGACAGTAATTATAATATTGTACTTGGATTAACAGACATACAACGAAACAAGAATTCATATTACAAGTTACAACTTTTAGAAGCCGATAAACAAAATAAGTATGTCTATAATTTGCATTCACAATAAGCACATTACACATACTACATTTAATGTTTTACTTTTCCTAATTGTATAGGTATTGGATTTTTCGCTCATGGGGTCGTATTGGAACAACTATTGGAAGCTCAAAGGTGGAAGATTTCAAAACATTAGTCGATGCTATACAATGTTTTCACAGTGTTTACGCAGAAAAGACAGGAAATGAATTTGGGAACAGAAATAATTTTGTTAAGATACCGGGTCGTATGTACCCAATCGATATTCAATATGAGGAATATAAGGAAGTAAAAGACGCTAGCAGTGAAAATATTGTTTCTAAACTTAAACCTTCAGTTCAAAATTTAATAAAACTTATATTTGATGTCGACTCAATGAAGAAAACAATGATGGAATTCCACATAGATATGGAAAAAATGCCCCTAGGCAAACTTAGTTTAAAGCAACTTCAGTCAGCATATACTGTTGTAAATGAAATATATGAATTGATTCAGCAAAGTGGCACCAATGCTCGATTTATTGATGTCAGTAATCGATTCTACACATTAATACCGCATAGTTTTGGAGTCAATGCACCGCCTTTAATTGAAACGATTGAACAGATAGAAAATTTACGGCAAATGCTGGATTCATTAGCGGAGATAGAAGTTGCCTATAAGTTAATAAAGAACGAGGATCATTTGGATAATGTTAATCCATTGGATAAACATTACGAACAGTTAAAAACACATCTGGAACCGCTTGACAAAAACAGTGAAGAATTCACAATTTTAAACAAGTACGTGCAAAATACGCATGCAGCTACACATAGTTCATACGAACTTCAAGTAATAGATGTATTTAAGGTAGCTCGACAAGGTGAAGCTCGGCGCTTTAAGCCTTTTAAGAAGCTACAAAACCGAAAATTGCTTTGGCACGGTTCTCGACTTACAAACTTTGTTGGAATATTGTCGCATGGTTTGAAAATTGCTCCGCCAGAAGCACCACCAACTGGCTATATGTTCGGCAAGGGCATTTATTTTGCAGATATGGTGTCCAAATCGGCTAACTATTGTTGTACCAGTCAACAAAACTCTACCGGACTTTTGCTTCTGTCCGAAGTGGCTTTAGGGGACATGATGGAATGTACGGCTGCCAAGTATGTAAACAAATTACCAAAAGGTAAACACAGCTGTTTTGGTCATGGTCGCACGATGCCAAATCCCAAAGAGTCATATGTTCGAACTGATGGTGTTGAAATACCACTAGGAAAGCCTATCACTGATGCGAATTTCACATCTTCGTTGTTGTATAATGAGTTTATTGTCTATGATATTGCTCAAGTCAATGTCCAATATTTATTTCGCATGGAGTTCAAGTATAAGTATTAATAAAATTTGCTTATTAAACTAGTAGAAATGACTATTTTTCTGATCTACTTTAAAGTACTTGCAAGCTGCAACTGGAGTAACAGACCCTAACCCAGGTCATATTTAGTTTTTGACAAAATTGAGCTAGAGAAGTAGACAAAACGTTAAAATAAATTGGTTTGACGTGTCCGCTGTCAATTAATGGCACAGAAGTATGATATAGTGGAGCTTGATTTGAATGTATTCAATTTAAATTAATGTATTTCAACCAAAAGCCTTCACCGATTAGAGGAACGGTTGAAAGCTTTTGAATTCCTTTACAAATAGCAAATCTAGAGTGCATTCTTGAAGCTTTTTGAATAAAGATTGACAAGGAAAAGTTAATGCAGGTACTAATTGAGAAAATATATGGTGGTGATGGTTTTGTAGCCGAATAGGATAATCACAATCAAACTGTGAGGTATTCCTTGCACTGGGCTCTGAGTGGTCTGCGATGCCCCAGAAATTATGTAACTGCTGCTATATGGCTCATAAAAAAATATTTATAAATTTGGTATACTCTCAGATTATTCGATTTTTATATGTTATAGTAGTTGTGACACGCCTCTTTAGAGTAATCCTTGGTTTTTAGGTTCATTTTCTGAACACTCCGGCTCCATCATGTGTTTGTTAGAACACGCTTTGGGGTACCTGGCCGGTCGCACTGAGTTCTCCTACTGTTGGGTCCGCTCTGGAAACAATAGACTGATACAAGCACTGCTTGCACAGGATACACTACAGCTATTCCAAACCCTACACTATGCCATGTCCAGTATCCTCGATGGCTTGCACACAATGTTGTTCAAGGAAGCAGTCGTTGGTCCTGGTATCCTTCGATAGTTTTCCTCTGTGTTGTTAGGTGTCCTGGATGTCCTTGATGGCATTGCTTTAAGTTCCTCGATGTCATGTTCTTTCCCTGAGTCGTTCGTTGCGGACTTTTATTAGCACTACACTAGTTGAAATACATACCGATTTCAACAACGCAATGGTTCTATTTATGTTATATCTACAAACGAAATTGAGGAGTTATTATTAGTTTTGGCTTTTAAAGAAAAGAAGGAACGGCTTGAAGAATTATGGCTTGCGGTTTTGCAGATATTTGAACAAAATAGTAAAAAATCTTGAAAAACAGAGAATTTTTCCATACATTTCGAACGAAATAAAAAAAAAGAGAGAAAAGAAAAAGAGAAAAAAAAAACAATTAAAATAGCAGCACAGAAAACAATACAATCGCAATTGCAATGCTGTTGATAGAATTCCAAGCAGACGCGCATGAATGTGTGTGTGTACATGTATACAGAAATTCTTGGAATTTGCGCAGCAGCTATGCTGCTAACACGTGCGCACATAACTTTGGTGTTTCTTAACCGATCCTAATGAAATTTTCGACAGTACATCTTATTGTAGAATAGAATAAAGAATATTTGTGTATTCTAAAAAATTCAATTGCATATAAATTGTGGCTTAAACTGATGGGCAATACAAGTTGGATAGTTAACTTGATTTATAGCTTTGTGGTGGTAGCGGGGAGGTGGCGATAGGTGTAAAATTAAAGATACTTGATATATATATATATATATATATGTATATGTATATGTATATGTATATATATGTAACAGGCAGAAGGAAGCGTCTCCGACCCTATTAAGTATATATATTCTTGATAAGGATCAATAGCCGACTCGATCTAGCCGTGCTCGTCTGTCTGTCCGTCCGTCCGTATGAACGCAAGAATCTCATAACCTGTTAGAGCAGTACAAGATTCCGATAATCCATAACTTTCCCCGTTTCGATATCGAAAACCTGTTTTTATACCCATTAAAAATGAGTAAAAATGGTATATTGTATTTATGCAAATGTATGTAACAGACAGAAGGAAGCATCTCCGACCCCATAAAGTATATATAGCATCAACAGCACCAACTAGTCGATCTAGCCAAGTCCGTCTGTCTGTCCGCATGTATGAACGCAAGGATCTCAGAACCTATAAGAGCCTCCTAGTGCCCGCGCAGATCGAGTTTCGATATTCGATAACTTGCCCCGTTTCCAAGTAATCGATACCGAAATCCAGTTTTTTGAACAATTTTGGTAAATAATAAGAGCTAGACTCACCGAACTAGACATGTAGCTTCTAGAATAGTACATATGTATATATCAAGTAACTTTCATTTTATAGTTATCGCCACCTCCCGCTGCCACCACAAAGTAATTAAATTAAGTAAATAAACCGATATAAGCTACAATTTAAATGCAATACACTTTTTGAGAATTCACAAATATTCTATGGGGCAAAAAGATGTACTTTCGAAAATTTCATTAAGATCGGTTAAGAAACACACACACATTCATGCGCGTATGCTTTGAATTCTATTAACAGCATGGCAATTGCGATTGTATTGCTTTCTGTGCTCCTATTTAAATTGGTTTTTATCTCATCAATGCTTAATTGGCTATTGAGTAGAGGTGGCGGAAAGTAACTCGGTCAGTTACGAGTTCGAACCATGCGTAGGAAAGTGTTTTTTTAATTTATCATTATTACTACCAAAGCAAACGAGCGCGTAGCTCGAGCTCCATTAGATGTTGGAATAAGAGGATTGAGGGTATCCCCTAGTCGGAAGCTCCCGACAAGAACCTTTTACTTGTTTGAGCTAGGTTTTAAGAGCTAGAGTCACCAAATGTAGCTTCTTGACTATATACAGATCAAGTAGCTTTCATTTTATAGCTATTAATATAGAGCCTCGTACTTGTTGCCTTTGTATTGTTGAGAACATGTAAAGTATTCGTTGGTTTGTGTGCTACTTTTATTTCTCGTTCGTTATAGCAGTGTAAGTTCGTGAGGCGTTCTGATAATCGTGGTACATATTTTAAAAACTTGTATATTTTCGTAGTTTCTGTAGATTTTTTTGTTGTATTTTTTAATCATGTGTATATTACATTGTTGAGTGGGAAGTCATTTTTGGTAAAGAGTTTTTATATTTCATGTCCACTTTCTTTGTAGAATTTTGTGTCCGATACGTTAATCATCCTTCTTGGGTGATTTGAGTTAAAGTTAAGTATTCGTCCAGACGCTATGGGTTTCTTATACAACTTAATTTTGAGTGCATGGCAATTTCTGGTATATTGCTAGAACAGTAGTAAATTTAAATTTAAAGAAGTAGTTCAATTTTTCCGAAGGTTATGTTCTCCTGTTTTGTCCGTTACGGCATAGAGGTGGTCTACATAATTCGTCAAAAGTCTTGTTTTATTGTCAATTTATCAGTTATATTGGCATTCCTTTTAATTATATATATTATTTGTCTTCGTACTTAATGTACCGGTTTTCTTGAGTGCAAAATCCTAACAACATTTACTAGATTTACTTTAAGTATAATATAAATAAGTAACTAGGGGATACCTTGAAACAAATCCGGTTGATGGCCCTCTGCGTCGTTTCGAAGTAAAATGAGCGAAAAAGATTTATACTTTTGAGTGACGCATTGTACTTTTGCTTTATCCTTGATATGCATGCTTTACATGAATGACTAGCGGGTAATCCCGTCCCTCTGGAACGTTTTGTGATAAAAATTTAAGATATTACCTTTGCACTAAGTGGAAAAAATATTGTATGTTAAATGTTTAATTAATTTTTTAATTTAATTTATTTTAATGTTAATTAATTTTCGGCTCCTGGTGCTATTGCCCAACTGCCCGATGCGTTGCCGAAATTTATCGGAAATACATTAAAACAAAAAAATCGTGTTTCTTTTTGTTTTTAACAAAGCCCCGGTCCTCAAACAATTATTTATTAAATGGAAAGGTCACCAAAACCAGCAAACTCACCAGAAGCATTAAAAGGCAACCAATTTGTACAACGTGCAGCGTCCTCGGCCCGGTGCTGTACACGGCCGACTCCCCATACGAGGACAAAGCAGTTCACCCCTCAGCCACGCGAGACTGCTAGTGGCAAGGTACGCAGACGACACCTGTAGCATGAGCAACATATTTATAATACATACCCAACCAATGTAAGGGTATATGAGATCAAATAAACAATAACCCATTTAGCGACACTTTGTTGCTAAACATATCGCAACCCAAAGTGCATTCGAAATATGATCGTCCACTCATAAGTGGCGTGACCATAGCGCAGAATATGCAACGTCTGCATATTCTGCCGAATACCATTCTTTGTCTTACGATATATACTATGCTCAATGTATATGCTTTAAGTGTATGCATATATACATGCTCCCGCTCTGCCGCTGTACTCAGCGACTGAGACTTATATACAAAACTCTAATGTTAGACTTAAGAACAAACATATAATTGAACGACACATCAGTCGAAGAATATCATCAACGTCTTAGGACGTATGCCAATAAACGATCAATAAAAGTAAAACTGTTTAATTAATTTTACATGGCGACCGTGACAGTGGTTTGCCGTTTGTGTTACAAAAAAAAAAAAAAAAAAAATAATTAAAATAAATTAATAATAATGCATAATGAATTGCGTCAAACAAAGATTGATTAATTTTACACTTTCAATGACGCCAATGATATGAACGAAAATTGCAATATACATTGTGAAACATGTCGAAAGTGACAAGCAACAACATCAACAACAACTAACAAAATCTGAATCAACGACAACAACTGAGAAAGCAAATTTAACAACAACAACAGAAGCAACTTAACAGATGACACGAACGTGTAAACCAAAGACAGCCTGTGCGATGACCAGCACCGCACCGCCTGAGCCCATAGGCCCCGGACAGCAGCAGCAGATACCAAAAGTGTGAGAGGCAGTCCGCCCTTTGCACCAACGCGGGAAGTAAATGAGCAACGTTGGACTGGAAGAGGCTGCTCCTGTTGAGCAAAGGGATGCACCCAGCCTGCAAGAGGCTTTAGAGGTGTACCCCAACGATGGACCACGCCCACTCACAATAGCTGAGTACCGGGCACGACAACAGAAGAAGGAAAAGAAGAAAACCAAAAGAAGCGGAAGAAGGATTAAACTGCTTCAACAAAG